CTGCCGCTGGCGGAGGCAAAGGGAAAAAGGGAGGCCCTTCCTGTTTCTCCTTCGCTTAAATATGAGTCTCCTTGCTATGTCACTTCCTGCCTGGATCAGCACTTCTCTACTACATTTCCCAGAATCCTCTTTGACTCCTAGTCCCATCTAACTTGCTGTCTCATTGGCCAAACAGTATTTTATTTAACAGTCAATAAGATAAGCATACACAGCACATTCCCCATCAATCTTGAATGGCAATGGCTGTTTGGGCAAGAGAAATTATTTGGTTAACACGTTGATATCATAATGGTAGCTAAGCAAGTCCAAAGTGATGGTTTCCAGCTCCAGACCAGGTCCTGGTAGGCAAGTAGTTGCAGAGATGGAATTAAGTTTTGTTAAATTCCTTTGATTTAATTTTCTAATCCAGAAATCAGGATTCTGGAGAACCTACAGTTCCACTAGAGGCTGAGAATGCCTCTAAGCCATAATGTCCTGAGTAGTGTAGATTATGGCTGACACTATGCCCTTGAATTCACAGACAGGGGCTAGGGATGCAGCTTGTGTCCTTTGGACCAAAATCTCCAAAGAGTTTAAGCTGTATCTGTCAACTCTGCTCTGACTCTTGGCCATTGAGTTCTGAACTGGAGTGCTCAAAACGGAGACCTCCCATATAGTTTTGTCCTCTGTCCTCCCTGGATCCTCCTCCTGCCAGGAAATTAGCCATTGCTGCTCCTAGGATGGGGGTGGGGTGGGGTGGGATGGTGGATGGTTGTCTGTCTCATGTCAACTGCCCATATTCTCTGTCCTCTGTACACTCTCTGTCAGCAGGCAGGTATGTGAGTGGCATCAAGTGGCCTTGAAGTAGAACCTTGATTGTGGCCTGGCTACGTCTGCACTCACATGGGAGACCTGGACACTATATGTGGTACTGCTGTGCCCCATTGTCAAGGTGTCAGTTGAAGACCCTCTGAGCATGTGCCAGTTAGAGTACTCCTATCGTAGTGTGACAGGGATGACTGTGCTCAGGCCTAGGACAAGTTTCTGCCCAGGTTTTTATTTCTGTGGCTTTATCTGACTTTTGCATCCTGTGAAGAAGAATCCAATTTAGTTTTCATGATGGTGTTTCTATGTAGTGGATGTGACATACCATTGTGATGGACTAAGTCAAAATTGTGGGACTGAGGACCCACCCCATTCCCCCATCCTACTCCACTGTCTCCGATTCACAGGCCTAGGCAGATTCCATAAAAGGAGGCTCCTAGTCCCAACTATGGCCAGCATTGTCCAAGATTGTTCTGAGCCAGCTTGACGTCAAGTATCAAGTGGTTGACTAGTTTTTTTTTTTTCCCCCTCAGAGGAAGGTGGAGGGAGATACCCAGAAAAAGGTTTCCTTGGCATTCATGGAGCAATACTGCCATCAAGCAGAATTGCTTTCCAGTTCCTGCCATCATCTTGGGCGTGCTGTCTCAGCCAGATTGGTTGAGCAGGGAGCAAGGAATGCATGGGGACTCTGTTTCAAGAATGAAGTGAAGGGGACTCTAGTCAGTCCTGAGCTAATCCATGGTCCAGGGAACTGATAGGGCCACTCCCTTCTAAGCTTCTGAGGGTCACACTGCCTCACAGCCATAACCAGAGAGATACATGAACTATAGGATTCAATTTCCTGTGGCAGCCACATTTGTCAGGGTGTAGAGGAAGTCTTTTCCCGAGAGTCGGCAACCTAGGACCAGACATGAGTACAGCATTCTTTTGAATCCTTCAAATTCTCCAGCTATCAAGAAATAAGAGATACCTAAGTGCCTGTGGGCACAACAGGGTCTCTGGCTTCATGATTAATTTTTTTGTATTGTCACCTGTATCTACCCCTCCTTTCCTGGAGTCAGACATTGCCTTGGGACTTCTGGTCTCTGTTCATGGGATTGTGTGGTGGGTCCCCAGAAATGCCAACAAAAATTCAAACATAAGTCAGCCAGTCATTTCCTTCCTTCTTTCTGTCATCCTCCCTCTATGTACCCTTTCTCTCCTCCTTTTTTCCATACGTACATCCTCAGTTTGTTGTGTGTACCTCATTGTCCCCTTGCTTTCTGTCTGTCTTTGTGATTTTCAGGGTTTTCCTTCCCTTTGTACTTCCGCTGTCTTTTCAGGAATACTGCAGGTAGCAATCAGTGTCCTAAATATGTGAATGGGGGGTCAGCATGAAAAATCAGGTTCCCAGCACAATGCAGGTATATGTGGAATAATTGAAAGGATCTGCTTTGGGGGTGCTGGGATATGGTGTGGAGGAATCTTAGTTTGTCAGCCAAGGCAATTGATGATAGAAGGAAAACAGAAGCAGAAGATGGTGTCTGTGTTGGAGAGCTCTATGCCAGTTGACAGACACTGATGTCATCTGAGAGCAGGGAACTGAAAAGATGTTTCCATAATTTCTGGCTGTAAGTAAGCCTGAAGGGCATTTTTTAAATTCAGTAATTGATGGGAGACTCTCCTGCCCATTGTGGGTAGTGTAACTTGGGGGGGCGATGCTCTTGGAATCTATAGGAAAGCTGTCTGAAAACACATGGGAGCATGCCCCTACACAGCACCCCTCCATGGCCTCTGCATGAGCTCCTACCTCCAAGTTCCTGTCCTGTTTGTGTTCCTGTTTTGGCTTCCTCCAATGATGAACAGTCATGTAGGAGTGTAAGCCATGATAAATCCTTCCCTCCCCAGTTTGCTTTTGGCTGTGGTGTTTATCAGAGCAATAACAACCTTCACTAAGATAATGTCCTACCTTGGGGTCAGAGCAACCACAGTCAACAAGGAAAGTAGACATGAGGTAAGAT